AAAAAAAAAAAAAAAAAAAAAAAAAAAAAATCGGAAATTACGAAGCGAAATTTTTTACGATAAAAAAATATTCTGTTTGAGCGTAAATTTAAAATGAACATGAACTTGGCTGTTTTTGCAGCGGGAAAGTATAGTAGGCGCTCGGATGGCGAGGTGCGAACATCACGGAAAGAACGCAAAAAGCGCTACACCGTGGTCGGAAATCCTTATTGGATGGCACCGGAAATGATGAAGGGCAACAAGTATGACGAGAAGGTCGACATATTTAGCTTCGGCATTGTCGTCTGCGAGATAATCGGCCGTGTGCAGGCCGACCCAGATTATTTGCCACGCTCCTCCGACTTTGGATTGAACAAGAAGGCGTTTAAAGAAAAGTTCTGTACTAATTGCCCGGAATGCTTTTACACGATAGCATTTTTGTGCTGCGACCTTAATCCCGACAAGAGGCCCCCATTCGAGATTATGGAGGTGTGGCTCGATGGACTAGCCATGCATTTGTCGGTCGACGCAGCCTTGCCACCTGAATTAGAAGTAGACATTAAGAATTACGCAGGACCAAGTCCCAGTAGCAGTGAGTCCACAACACCGGATGTTCTCAGTCCACAGTTAAAAACTATTACCGAAGGACAGGTGAGATTGCAATTTGAACATTTTATGAAGTAAATTTTATGGATATTTATGTGATATTTAATAACAAATGAACGCCTGTGCTTTGCGATTTATCAAATTATTAAATATCGTGTTTATGAATTGCAGATATTGAATTATGGATATCCTATGTTGCGTTCAATTTGTATCAATTTTTTGTACAAATTTTTATATCTATTTTGTTCATTATTTTCATTCAAATTTATTAGTAGGCTTTATTTGTCACGCAAAATAATAAACATTAGGGGCTATATATATATATATATATTTTTTTTTATCCGCTTATCAAAATGATATTAATGCAGATTAAATTGAAATTACCATTGTAAATTTTCACAGTTATATTAAATAAAACTATCGAGTTATTATCAAATCACATTATTACAATATTTTATGTTTGTAATTTAGAAAAAAAAAAAAAAAAAAAAAAAATTCAACACAAACACAAAACCAATTAAGTAGAACTTTTTGCTATTTTCATATTTTAGATGATACTAGAACACTTGCAAATATATGCACTTTGTGGAAATTATGTGGACCTACAGGTTGCTTTAGAATAAAATTTTATCGTGTTTTTAGCCTAATTTTGTCATATTTTATTGTTAAAAGGAAAAAAAGAAAAAAGAAAGAAAAGAACTGCTATCGTTAAAATATTTTCCCAACTCACAGGTGCATCGGGATAAGAGGCGCGCGAGCGGTTGCGACGACAGTACTCTCGAATCGGATTTTTATACGCAAAGCATCGAGTGCAAAGAGAATATTGAAACGCCGGCGAAGAGCGCCAAGCAGATCGAATCGCCGCCAATGGAGAACGAGAAGCGCTACTTGCGGCAGAGCAACAGCAAGTCGAAGGAGCCGATTGGGGATGGCAAACCAGCCAAGTCAAACGCGTACTCGAGGCAAAATAGCCGAAATAGCCGGGTCGGCAATTGCAATGAAGACGTATCGACGACGGATCGCAGACGCAGCCTTAATTCGCCCCGGATTAATCTCGTAAATATTTTATTATCATTAAATGACATCATAAATTACAATGCTAAAGCGACATGTTGCGCAAATTTTATCAAAGAGGCGAAATATCGTAAAGATTTTTTTCTTTATGCCCTAAACGTATTTTTAAATCGTTGTACCTAATTGTAGATAGATTGTTATAATAATCATTTGTTGCATTTATCCGAGCTGATTTTCAATACATATACATAAAAATGACTTGGCTGTATTGTAGTTGTTTAAAATTCCTGTCATATGTGAGATATTGATATTTAATATTGGATACATGATTTATCTCACGTTTTCTAAGCTCAAATAAATTAATTGTAATTGTATTATAAATATCATTAATCCAAAACGTCACTTGGTCGTACAATTATGTATAAATATGCATTACGGAACATAAAGTATCCATCTGATAAAGCTCATGTCCTTGTATAGGGTGCATCAGAAAAGTTCACTTTAGACAAGTATCCAAGCATCGAGAAGATGAAATATGTCGGGCAAGCCGATGGTCCCTTTATAGTTCCTACCTCATCCAACACCAGCCTCAACTCCAACGAGTCCAAACGATCGTCGTATCGAGTCAATTGCTTCCGCGCCGATAGCAAAAAGGATGAAGTGCCAGCCAGCATCGAGAGCGCGAGCTCCAAGGCCGATAATTCCAAGTACAAAGCCGCGAATGCCAGCGGCAACCTCGTGGGCATGTATTTACGTCAAATCGGCAAATCGATCGCCCCCACCTCCGATAAAGAGAACAGTACATCGAGCTCGCATACAAACAAAAATTCTTACAGTGTGAACAAGGAGCCGGATTCGAAGTGCAGAACGACGAGCGCGACAACGACGTCGGCCACGACTCCATTAAGACGGACGAAGATATCGCCAACGAAGGAGTCCCTCACCAAGAGCGCTTTTATTAGTGAAATGCCGGAGGCCAATGCCATCGAAGACCCATTAAAAAGTAAAGAGAAAGCCAAGTTGAAAGGTGAATCGCAGATTTCGAGGAAAGGCAGTAACAAGCTGAAAAATAGGAGACGAGGCAAGTCGGACCTCGGCTACGTCGACAGTTTCTCGTTAGACGAGTCCAAGTCATCGAGAGGCCAAATCGAGAACGACAATAACAAGCAGGAGGACGAAAACTCCAGGTACATTGAGAACGAGCTTCTCCTCCAGGCGAGCTCGGACTCGTTCGGCCTGTACGATGATTATTTTAAAACGAGTGGCGTCGAGCGTCAGGGCAGCTTCGGATCTGACAGCGCAGTCGGCACAATGAAGAGTGACTTCTTCGCCGATATCGATCTCGCAAAAATCAGGGACGGCTCTTCAACGATACTGCGCGAGCTCTGTTGCACACCGGATAAGTGCCCTGCAACGCCCAATCGCACAAATTCGCCTTTCGAGAGTACGGCTTTGTAACGCCCTCCTGTGATTAATTTTTTCGGCTTTATATTTGGCCCTTTCAAATAAGACTTGCAATCTCGTTCGTTCGTTCGTTCGCTTCGTTATTATGCGTTTTATAAAAAAAGAAGAAGAAGAAGAAGAAGAAGAAGAAGAAGAAGAAATATATATAAACATATACATATATATTCCAATGTAATTATTGTTAGTAGCCCTGGTAAAAAAAAAAAAAAAAAATTCGATCAGACCAATGAATTAGTAAATGCAATCGCGGCAATATATTTTGTAATGTAATGTTTATTTCACAATGAAATTCGCGATTAATCGTTACATAATTGATAAAAGTAAAGCCAAAATACCATTATGATATCATGTACAAACTGCTAAAAATTTGTATATTATATTTTTCTCTTTTACCAGGGAACGGCATGATAATTCAATACGTACTATTAAATCGATTGATGAGAGTACAATAACTTATTCTCACGTTGTTCTTGTTTCCATAGTTTTTACTGATTTTGTATTGTAGCGACATCATTAAATTATTTAGTTTTAATGTGAAAAATTAATTGAGAATATGGGACACGTATCCATATACGAGACAATTTAAAAGAAAAAGAAAAAAAGTTGGTTTTCATTTTAGTAGAGTTTTTATTTATTTTTGTTTTTCAACGATGATGTGATACGTTACAAAAAAAAAAAAAAAAAAAAAAAAAAACAACAACAACAACATATTTTTAAAAAACGAAATAATTCAATTTCTTTTTAATAAAAGGGTAAATAGTTATATTAACGCAGCTTTGGTATTCATTAATTTTAATGATTTTAGCACCGAATCAAAGAAAATATTAGTGCATTTTTGCTGTGAATTCTTGTAAATAATTTATGCAGATTTAAAAAGTTTATAGTTTACTTTTAATATTGGCATCGATATTACGTTTATTTTAATTTTGTATAGCTTTTGTAAAGTTCTTAATTGACAATATAGTTCATTAATTATGTAAGTTAGTAAATATTGGATAAATAATTTATATCACATTTTAGCATTGTTTAAAACTCATATGAATTCCTATTAGTAAAATATTTTCTTTAAAAAAAAAAATTTATGCTGATTCATGCAAGATCATTGTTACTGATAAATCGCGGGTTCGGTTTTTATAAACAATTTCTACTGATAAACGTACCACCAGTAGCACGGTTTTTCTAATCAGTATTATAGCAAATATCGCGTATCAATTATATTTAAAGCATACTCGTCAAAAATAATGCAACTTTTATGAATATTATCGAAATAGTGATATTCGTGAATATATCTCTGTTAATCAACGCTTTCTCAACGCTAACCTATAGACACGAGCGTCTTTTGTCATTTTAAAATTAAAAATTTACAAACTTCTATTGTATTTAAAACAAAAAACAAAACAAAACAAAAAAAAAGGCAAACCAACAAACAAACAAGGAATTTTTTCTTTGAACGACTACAAGTTCTAATAATAATATTTTAAAGTCTCGAATCTTCTAATTATCTTATTATATTTAAAGGAGGAAGAGAAAAAAAATTACATTATTAAAAGCAAAGTAACGACAGATGATCGTATATTCATTGATATAAACTACGCTTTTATTTGTATATTCTGAATACAAGCATTCCAAGTAATATATTATATCGCATATTCCAATTGCTTGCCAAGTTGGTCCTATATTAGACTTTAGATGATAAAACAAAGACCTGAAAACTAATGACTATTGATATAAAATAAATTAATAATAATAATGATAATAACAGTCAGTTTCATTAATGCGTACAATGTGTCTTTAAAAAAGGCTTGTAGGATTATAAGGTTCAGACGTGTTATGCAATTTTCAATTATTTGGTTTCAAAAGTACATATTTCTTTATTTCAGCTTGGATTGGATATAGTTTAATTTTCAACGCAATATATATATATATACATATATATTTTTTTTTATTTATTATTTTTTTTTTTTAATACATATCGGTAAATCTGATAGATAGATATGATTATATATTACTATTGTCGATTCAATAGAGAGTATCTACAAGATTTTCATGATATTCGTGTATAAAAATAATAAATAACATTCGAATGAGCAAATCTTGCGTGGATTTGGATGAAGAATAATAAATAAATAAATCTCACTTTCTCCGTGAGAGTTTAAAGTATGAAACACGAAAATAAGTTTTTTGATCGGGGCATAAACTAAAAATAAAATTATTTTGCATAGAAAGCCGGATCTGCTCCCTGCTATTATTATAGACTGTTGAATGGGACCGATTTTGTACTGTACGCTCAGAAAAACGATATTTGGTTGAACAAGACGAAGCCTAAATAAAGCTTTACGAGGAAATTTATAGAGACGTTTAATGAAAGCTCTCGTCACAAAAATAAATCATTCGAATGTAACATTCTTAAATAAATTATTTAAGCTTACATTGAAAAAGATGATTTATTAACGAGTGAAATAAATTTCTTCGTATCCTTTTATTTAAGCATTAACCCCTTGAAAACCAAAGGATCGTCATTCTTGTTTAAGGAGTGGAAGTCTTGGTAAAAGATAATATTAGCTAAATGAACTTTATAACATGAGATTTAAATTATATTATAATGTAATTATAATTCGGTTTGTATCACAAGATACGGGATATAAATACATAATATAAAAAGCAATTAATTATATTAATATTAGACATAAGGTGCGTGCGATTGACGTATAGATAGAATGTAAGGGGTTGCGAGTGTGTTGGTATTGGACGAGACAGTGACGAGACGAAGGTCATTGAAATTGACGAGTTTAGCAATATTTCTGACTATATGAAGCTTCGTTAGATTTTTATTACAATATTTGTTATGGAATTTCTATGGATTATTATGGGAATATGTAGATGCTAGATTTATCATTGATATTCTTGACTTATTGAGTAACATTGTGAATTGATCATAAATCAAAAGCACAACGCTTATAATTATTATTTATGTAGAATACATAAACAAGTGTCAGTGTTTAGCGATTTTCTGGAAATGATAATATTTTCTGTGAATTTTGAAATAATTTTTAACAAATTTTTGTAAAAATTATAAAAAAATTTTAACTCTATATTGCCGCGTTAGTAGATAATATGTTATCTTATGAAATAAACACCTGCGTAACGATGAATTTATTCGTCTAGAAGAGAAATGCATAGATTTAGAGAGATTTCACCTCACTCTCGACGATTCTGTTTTTATAAAATGTGAACAAACAAACATACACCAAAATAATTTCTCAGCGAAAGCGCAGGAAAAACGGCAACCGATTATATTACTTACCATTCGCGAGTGTTTAAAAACGAATCCTAATGAATTCTCAATAAATTCCAAGCCTTTTCATCTTAGCTTTTTCAATTTTCTCGAATTCTCTTATTCGTTGATCTCAAGTACATTTGCTTCGTTAGATTTTTCCCTCCTCGTTACTTCGCCTCCATTTCTTTTATTCTGGCATTTGATCTACGTACCTCGCTGCTCCGTCTCTTCCCATTTAATTTACTCATATATTTTGCGCTAATTGTTGCAACATTAGACATTTTACGCAGTTGTTGTTAGTTCCATCGAATTCTAATAATGATTTAAATTTCACAAATACTCTCTCGCTCACAATCATTCGTGTCTAGATAATAAGTCAACCAATTATTTCGCGCTCATAATTCAATTCTCTTACTGTAAAATTACTCGCTTATCAATTACGGCTAACGACTGTTTAAGGACCATTTATACGTGAAAATTATCGGCCTGGAATAATGGAAAAGTGTCGTTAGAATAGACAGTATACAATATAATTTAGTGAAAATTATGGAATATGTTATTTCTTATTTTTTATATGAATAAGTTTGCCCTTTTAGAGCTAGAAAATATGAAGATTAATTTTTTTAATAATATTTTTAAAAGATATATATATATATATATATATATATATATATTGTATTAAAATTTCCTTTTTAAGTAAAATCTATGAATTTAAAAAATTCTTTGCGCTAAATAGTGGATTTTAAGCGTGTTAATTTTTATAAATTATGTACCAGAAATTTTTATTTTTTTTTTAAAGATTTTATTGAAGAGTCGTAGAGTGTTTCATTAACGACAGAACCACCAATATTCGTAAATTAACAGATATAATAATTATATTAATCGCGAGTTTTTGTATATACTTGTGTTTAATTGTATCATACATGAAATATATGCAGGTAATTAAATATGCAATGACAAAATAAATAATGATGTATAGGTGGAAGAGGACGGAAGACAAACGATTATCGGCAGTTAAATAAAGCATTCATCGGTGGCAATGCGATCGAATGCGAAGAATTAAAATTCAAAATAGTCGGTTATATAGGACTTGTATTTAATAGAAAGGGAAAATAATAATCATTTATTCAATCGTTTATTTGTTTTTTATGGCTAAATATTCGTTCGCTTAGTATAATTCGCTCGAGTTCTTGATTCAATATCGTCGTGAGTTATATTTGATGAGGAAAGTGTAAAACTTTCTTTGACAACTTACTACATACTTTTCGAAATCATTTCCTTATTACATAACGTACTTCTTATGCTTAGAATAAAATAATTTTTAATCGTTTCTAATTGCATACATAAGTTTTTTAATTAATAACATGTTTATAGTGCTTATTAAAATAATTTTTTGAAATTTGAGAAAGCGTGGACTATTATCATGTGGGAAGGTGGGTAGGGCAAATATATTTTTTCATTATTTAAAACCAACCGATATTTGACTTTCATAAAAGATCCTCGAAGCTTGAAATATCTTTTACCCTTCATCCTCCCCTCGTTCTTTCTTTCTTTGAGAAAGAAGTGTCGGTATGCTCGTATAAAAAATTAAGATAAATCGAGTGCGCGCGGGAAGCCAAGTGTGTAGAGGTGCTCGACTAGTTCTTTTTGTGAGTCTGCTGGTATGTAAATTCTTTTAAGGGCCCAAAAAAATACGAAAATCGTATATTACGAATAGTAGCAAAGATAGGTATCGTTAAGTAGTGATGGTTGGCTCAGTTAAAACAAAAAAATAAATAACTCACTAGTGTTTATTAATT